CCAATTGCAATAATTTATCCTAATGATAAAGATTGGAAAACATTGGCATTTTGTCAGATGCAGTAACAGCTCCACTTGAGAAAGGCTCTGAATCTTCTGGGTTATCTCTGGGAATGGAGATGGTGTTAATGCCACAAAACTAGTGAGGGCTGTCTGTATGGTGTTTTTCTTTATTTCTTTATATACTTTGTGGAAACATCTCACTGTTTCCTGACACTATCACCTTCAGCAAAGTGATCAATGTTTGGTTCATGTTTTCAAGCAATGGAAGCCCCCGATTTAGTTTAGAGAAATCTCCAATAAATCCTTTTGCTGCAAAATGTTTTGGTAATTTACTTCTCTCCTTCTTTGTGATTTCTTTTTTTCTGAAGCATTTCTTTTCCCTTCAAATTCCATTCATTCCTGATCTGTCAATCCCCCTCTTTGTTGGGGATATCAAATTCTAAAGGCAGTGTTCTTTCCATATGGAAGGTTTGTCCACCAATATCTTTCATTGCTATTATCCTGATCAAATGCTTGGACAATGTTCGCTTAGTCATGTTCAGTCATTTTATTTCCATATCATCTGTAGTTACCTATAACTCACTCCTAAAAAGATGCAAAGTTTCAGATACACCAGAGAACATTATAATTCTTTCAGAAATGCGTAATGTTACTGAACCTCTTTCTGTTGAAGCTACTGCCTGAGCAAATGTAGTGTGTAGATAGTATGTCTTGAAGGTGGCAATTGTATTTTGATCCATAAGTTAAACCACAACTAATGTAGTAGAAGGTAGGTATACCACTTTTACATCTTGATTTAAATCATTTACATAAAGAGGTAAAATTAAATCATTTGCATGAAATTATTTAAATCATTTACATGTATTATTGAGTGGCAGTAAAATCTTAAAAGGTTTGTTCTTTTCAAGGCAGTAGACATACATTTCTGGGATGAAACAAATTTAAAGTCAGTCTTCAAATACCATCATCATCATATAGACTTTGGATTTACTCCTCATGTAGGCCAGAAGCTTATGTTTTGTTAGAATTGTGAATTTTATGTCAAAAGCTCCTTTAACTGTTTCCAAAATCCCTTTCTTAACCTTCTTATTGTTGTGTGCCATCGAGTCAGTTCCAACTCATAGCAACCATGTATAGGGTGTCTGAGAGGGGCTGCTGGGATTGAATCATAGTGAAGTCTATCAAAATGGCTGATAGGCAGGTTCACAGTTCAACTGTCATATATTGTTAGAGTTGGACACTGCCTAACATTCTTCCCACTATGACTCCTGACACCAACTACAGTGTAGACCAGGTCATAGTCTGCTATATGACAGTGTTTTGAATAATAAATTGTAAAACATAAAAATAAAATCAAAGTTTAAGTACCTTCTACCTTTACTTCAAAAAATAAAAAGAAAAGGAGTCCTCTTTATAACCCTCTTTAAACTTAAGAAGCCTATTTGAACTCTTGAACTTCCTTTTTTAAAAAGTTCTACTTTTAATAACATAGAAACCATTTTTTGCCCTGAATTTGGTTTAGTAAAAGTGAAGGCAAAAGAATGCATACTTCATAATATGAGGGGGAGTCAAAAGTTTGTGGAAAAGTGCAACTGAAAGATAATGGAATTTTTCCATGAACATTTTCAAGCCCCCTCATGTGTACATGTATATAGTGGGTTAATGTGCTGGGCTGCAAAGTCAATTTGAACCACAAGGTTGGCAGTTCTCGCTCATCAGCTGCTCCTCCGGTATGAGTCAGAATCAACTTGACAGCACTTAACAATAACAACAAAAATATAAACACAAGCTCCCTGGTGTGTATGCATATGTATCACAATTGCAGATAAAGCAAGATCACAAACTTAAAAAAAACACATTCAATTTAAAATAAAAATCTCAGAAATACAGAACGCTATAAAATGGAGTCTAGTAGTAAAGAATTAAGAAGCCCAATGAACAGTGGTTAAATACTCTGCTACCAAATAAAAGGTTGGTGACTTGAACCCACCAGCTACACCATGAAAGAAAGATGTGGCAGTCTGTTTCTATAAAGATTTACAGCCTTGGAAACCCTATGGGACAATTCTACACTGTCCTATAGGGTCGCTATGATTCTAACTGTATGACAATGGGTTTGTTCTTTTGGGTTTTAGTAAAAAGTATGCATTTTTGTATCAGAATACCTAATTCAGGATCCATTAGTCATGTACACTTCAACAAATTACTTAATGAATTTGTGAAGAGGGAATGACAGTCTGTAAACAATTTTGAATAACAACTTGGCATAAGGAAAATGTTCTGTAATTACTTAAAATAATCATTATTTTTATATAATTCAATTATTAATATTATCTAAATATGTATGGTCCACTTTATGCTCATAGGCCTGGACAAGAAAATAAAACAACTAAAACACAGATTAGTATGCAAATTTTGTCTATCAAGGGCTTCTGGTTTCCCTAACATTCTAGTGCGGCACTGTGGGATTAAGTACTGGACTGCAAGCTTGGTTTGAACCACAAGATAGGCAATTCAAACTCACCAGCCACTCCTTGGAAACTCTTACAGGGTTGCTATGAATCAGAATCAACTCTAAGGCACTTAACAACAACAACAACAAGGTCTCAAAAGGTTAATGAACATGGTCCTGGGTTTAGCTAGAAATTGGGATTATAGTGTGTGGTCGTGTTTCTGATTTCAATAGCTGTATGTTCTAGAATCATGGTATCGAACAAAGCTAACTAGGTTATATGGGAGAGAAACTCATATAATAACTGTTCTTTAAACTAGTAGTCTCCAAAATTAAGGAGAGGAAAAAAAAAAAAAATTCTGCACATACACCTTGAAATAAAGGTATAACTTATGGATATGTCATGCTGTACTAACAGATAATGTACACTATAAAACATTCTGAAGAAAGAAGGAACAGCAGGTCTGAACCTTTCTCTGAACACGTTTTCCCTGAAAACATTTTGAGTTATGATAAATGGGGAATGCCAGCTGTGTTACCAGGCAACATTGTTTATTATTAGTGAAATGCATCTGGACTGGGAAGACTAAGTGAACTCTAAAGTAAATTTGGGAGTCACAGGCCTTGGCTTCTCAGTGTGCTATGTGTTCCTGCAACTGAGTGCATTCCCCGAGGGGTTCCAGGCTGTTACCAAAATACTGCTTCTTATGTAGTATGAGATTTATCCAAGAGAAGGTAGTCCATGCCCATCCAGATGGTCTCCTCATCCTAAAACTGAGTTGCTACAGGAGTTGCTACATGGGGTGGGAGAGGAGAAATCAAAAACCGTTTTTAAAGAATTATAGGGGGCCCTACTTATGAAATCCCTAACATTTTTCTGCTGGCATTCTGTTTTCAGTTCTCCAGTCATCTGCTAAACTAAATGAACTAGATACCAGTGTGGCCTACTGTGTCATATGGATGTGACTAAGTCATTAATGCTCAGGAATACACACACACACACAAAGCAGAAATTCTTAAAAATATATATTACTTATGTATGTTTTGCCTATACCATACACACACACACACATGTATCTATATACACACATACGCACATGAGGGGGCTTCAAAAGTTTTGTGGAAAATAATTGTTTTCCATAAACATTTGAAGTCCCCTTGTGTTTGTGTGTATATATGCACTGTTTTCTTCATATACTCCAGTGAATTATCTTAAGTACTATACTGTTTTAAGTCTACTGTAGTAATTTCTTGGGATCCACAGTCCACATACATATTGGAATATTTTGAGGATATTCTTTGTAGCAAGTTTAGAAAACTTTTTTTGGTACTTGTGACAGGTCCATGTCATTGGTGGATGCAAATTTTTGGCTCTTTCTACAAGTATTACTGCCTTTAGGCTGTTCTAAATGCAAAGACTAGTAACTCCATTGTTAGAAATTCTGCAGCTGAAAGATATTATCAGTTTCTGAAAATAAAAATAGTAAAATGTCTTCTTGAAGTTCATCCATCTCAGTCTTACTCACTTCAGTGTAGAGGGTATCAGAATACATCTACAAAAACCAAAACTAAACCCCTTGGCATGGAGTCGATTCTGACTCATAGTGAGACACTACAGCACAGGGCAGAAGTGCCCCATAAGGTTTCTAAGTCTGTAATCTTTACAGAAGCACATTGCCAAATCTTTCTCCCATGGAGCAGCTGGTGGGTTTGAACTGCTGACCCTGCAGTTAGCAGCTAGGTGGGCACTTAAACCATTATACCACCAACGATCCTTTGGATCTATACCAAACCCAACCTAATGCCACTGAATTATTCCTGGCCCACAGTGACCCTATGCCCACCAGCTGCCATTAACTCAATTCCAACTCACAGCAACCCTAATGTCGTTGTGTTGTTGGTAAGTGCCATCGAATCAGTTCCAATCCATAGTGACCCTGTATAAGGTTTCCAAGGAGTGGCTGATGAGCTTGAACAGTCGACCCTGTGGTTTAAACCGATCTTGTAGCCCATAGCATTAACCTACCATGCCACATGAGGAATCCAGCAACCCTTAATGGTGGTGGTGGTGTGCCATGGAGTTGGTTCCAACTCATAGCCACCCTGCATAGTGTTTCCGAGCCTGTAAATCTTTCTCCCACAGAACAGCTGGTAGTTTTGAACTGCTGACCTTGATGTTAACAGCCCGAATATTACACAATGTGTAGAATTCTTGTCATAAATTTTGAAGTACATTTATACTAATTTCACTGAAACATAGTATGCTAAAAAGGGAATAATGCTTTCCTATAGAGAGAGTTGTCATTCATAACCTCATTTTTAGGCACACATGGTTTTAATATTGTTTAAATAATTTTCCAAGTTACTTTCTAGTATATGTATCTACATTAAGGATTCACTGCTATTGAATAAATTCCAACTCACAGCAACACTAATAGACAGAATAGAACTGCTATTAGAATAGATAGAGTACCTTAATCTAAAATTTCAATTCCGTTAAACTCAGGAATGAGGATGGAGTATTTTCAGCATTCTTTAAACTTACCCTGATACATGCAACATCAGCAGCATGTAGAAGACAAAGAAGAGATTATGAGTATACCAGAAGATGTCATAGTTAGAAACTCTGAAAAAACAAATAACAATTTTAGTGCTACTTTATATTTCCTCTCACTAAAAAGGCTGCACACTACTTCAAACATATGTCACAATTTAAGAAACCTAAAAAATGAGCTAATCTGAGATTTACTCTGTAACACCAAAGTATCGACATACATTACATACAAATCAAATTGGCAGAAACTATAAGAAACAAACTCTCAGTTTGAAGGCTTTTTGTATTCTCAATAAAGATACATGGAAAGAATTAAAATAAGAGGGGATTTGTTTTTAAATCATTGTTATGCAAGACTCAGGAGTGGGTTAACAGTCTGCTGACTTATACTTTTGTTGTGTTCTTTATTGATAGTCTCATTTTCACATGATTTCTAAAACAACTAATGTTTCCATCCCAATACATTTTTTGAGTATAGTTCAATGGAAACTCAAATGAAGAGAAATTAAAATAAATGCTCATTAAAGTTTTGTTTTTCCTTCACATTGTTACTTAAGAATGCTGCCCTGGCGTTATTTCTCTGGGGGAATATTGTGAATCTGAAAAGGGAGGACTAAAATAACTATAATCAGTGAAATCTTTGAAAGATTTAGCAATTATTTCATATGCCTGGGAGTAGGTCGATAAGCAGATGTCAGTATATTGGAGGTATTTATAAAGTATTCCTAGATGAATCCGATATAACCCCTAGAACATTTTAGAACCTCTGATTTAATTAACAGCCAATTGTTTTATATTTATTTCATACATAGTTGCTACTATTACTAAGGAGTCCTGGTGTGGTGCTGTAGGAAAAGCACTGGACCACAAGGTCAATTTGAACTGCAAGTTCAGCAGTTCATAACTTACCAGCCATTCCTCAGAAACCCTATACATGGTCGCTAGGAGTCAGAACTGACTCAAAAGCAGTTAACAAAATGACTCAACAGCACACAACAACAGCAATACTACTACTATATCAATGATCATTAACATCCTGGTAATACATTCAGTATATAAAATCTTCACCAAATTCTTACCTCAACAAGTGGAATGGTTGAAGATTCTTTGAAGAGTGAAAGAAATTCATATTGCTGTGTTTTCTTTCTTTTAATTTCTTTAACCTTAGTGTATATTGTTGTTATGTACCATCAAGTCAGTTCTGTCTCATAGCACCCCCGTATAGGGTTTCTGAGAAACAGCTGGTGGGTTTGAACTGCCGAACTTGTGGTTTGCAGTCCAGTGCTGATCCTATAGCACCACACCAGGTATTGTACATAGTTGATTCTTTATTGACTCTAAATTCTGAGAAATGGAATCACTACATCAAAAGACATATATTTACAATACTTTGATGTTGTCGTTGTTGTTGTTATGTGCCGTGGAGTTGGTTCCAACTCATGGCGACCCTGTACAGGGTTTCCAAGGCTGTAAATCTTTCCGGGAGCAGAAAGCCTCATCTTTCTCCCGCGGAACAGCTGGTAGTTTCGAACTGCTGACCTTGAGGTTTGCAGTCCGATTTGTAACCACTACGCTACCAGAGCTCCTTACAATACTTTGATACACGCTGTCAACTACTCTCTGTGAACATGTTTATCCGTCATCAATCCAACAGTGCCTGTTCCTCCAAACCCAGGTCATGATTCTATCACACAGTTCAGTTATCCAATTCTGATTGGCTAAAATGGTAACTCATTTTATTAATTTCTACTGTTTTTGACAAGTGAGGTTGAGTATTATTTCATGTGTATTACTTTAATCTCTTCTGTGAGTTCTAAATTCATAACCATTATTCATTTTACAATAAAGTATTATTCTTAACTAATGTGTAATTTACATTTTAAGAATGCCAACCTGCACTTGAGTCAGAAGACCACTCAATGGCAACTGACAACAACAAACTAATTAAGGGTGTTGTTTCTGGGGCTGAGGCCAATAGGGAATCATAAAGAAGCACAAAGTAGCATCTCAAAGAGGAGCCAGAGACCAGTAGTCATGTATGTGTGGCCCAGGGCCCAGCAGAGTCTAAACAGGAGACTGAACTTGCTACATACACTCACCTCTACACTCCTCCAGGCTTTTGAATTTTTGTTTTCCTTTTCTCCCTTAATTTTGCAGTAAGAGTTCATTTAATAAGAATTCCAACTTAGTCTCTATTGACCTTTGGGAATTTTTCTTTCCCCATTCGAGGGCCTAGAGTTAAGCTGAGTACAACAGAGCCTAGCACCGTCTGTAGTGTGATCCTTCATTTTATTTACAAACCTAGTTTCTGTTATAGCTCAGCCTTTATTCACATTTCTGATGGTGAAGCTTCCTCTTCTACCTAAGGGCCAGGGCTCAGGAATGACATCTACCTGCCGTACTGGTTTACTTGGAAGTGATTGATTGATACAGTGAATGCAAAGCACAAACAGGCTACCAGTGGTGAGCAAGGGCCATGCAGTTAATAAAATTAACACTCCCATCCTAGCTGTTCTATGAAGAAAAAAGTGCTTGATAGAAATCAGGTGTTTTAAACCAAACAGAGTGAGGAGTACTTCTTTGTTCATGTGAAATATGTTGCCATTTTCCTCTTAAAGAATGTTAACATTAACATGCATCATAAAACTGGTTATATTTCACATTTAAGTGAATCCTCCAAAAATCTCTTCAAAATAATATTTATTAAAAAGGAACAAAATTAGAATCAGATAGAGGTACATATTATTGATTAAATTATGTTCCCCAAAATTTGTGTTGTAAATTCTAACTTCTACACTAGTGGTTATAACTCCATTTGGGAATGAGTTATCTGAGACACAATTAGTGTATATGATATATCTGAATCAATGTCTTTTACGATATTGTCGTCGGCCTTTTACGATAATGTTGGTTCTGATGGATAGTTGCCCTGTACAGGGTTTCTGAGGAGCAGCTGGTGGGTTTGAACTGCTGACCTTATGGATTGCAGTCCAGTGCTAATCATACAGCTACACACCAGGAGTCTCAATTGTTTAATCTCTTCTGAGATAGAAAAGAGATTGAACAAGGGTGCAGAGGAGAGATAGGGTAAAACAGATGCCAAGACAAACAGCTATCTCCAAGGAAACAGTAGGTAGAAGCTGAAGATACAAGGCCCTTCCTCCAGTGCCAACAAAGAAAGCCTTCCCTTTCAGCCAGCACTCTGAATTTGAACTTCTACTCCTCTAAACTGTGAAAAAGTCAACTTCCGGTTGCTAAAGCCAAAAAAAAGTGCCAATCTGCAAAAGTTCCATGTGATTGGTAGTAATATGTTTACTTTATTATTTTATAATCCATATCAATAGGCAGAAGCTTTAGTCTTCATATTTTTAGCTAAGTCAAATCTTTCCCATGCCCACCTTAAAGCTTGATAAATATTCATTTAAAGTTCCTTCTAAATGTTTAAAGGAATCATATTTTACAGTTAACTCTATAATTCATCTAGGATTTCATACATTTTAGATTTATCGTCCTTAAAAGTTTGTAATGGCATCTTTATTATTTTGTTTTATAAAACAGAACTTCCATATATCTTCAGTCTCATAAATAAATCTGGCAGTACCCTAATTTTTCCTCAAGAATGCCTAAAAATACAAAAGTAATTATTCTTAAGACTTTATCTCCTTAAAATAAAATGTCTCCCACAAAATGGGTAGGATTTGTCTTTATGTGAGGAAGGTTTTTTATATTCAAAGTCTTTAAGATACATGCTTGCCACTTTACCCAGCTATTCCATCTACATCCAGAAAAATTTCCTTTGGAAATCATTGGAAAAGTATGCAAAGACATATAGATGGGGTGTTCATTTCAGAACTGAAATAATGAAACTAGAAACATACAACATCAAACAATAAAGAACTAGAAAAACAAAGTCATGTGTAGCTAATTCTGTGCACGCAGTGAAAATGAAGATGGAGAAATATTTTTTAATGTAGAGAAAATGCTAATAACATTTAAATAGAAAGTAAACTTAAAATACTATGTATATTATTCAATTTTTACAAAACACAAATATATATGTAGAGAAAGAAAAAGAAAAAGTTGAATTTGCATGGGGCTTAGGAGGTAGGTAAAGAGTAAGAGGAGACAAGAAGACTGAAGTCTGTAACATAAATACCAAAAAGATTAAGACAAAATTACTTGTCAAGTTTTAGGGTGTGCATGTATGTATGTAGGTGTGATTATAAGTGTAGAGATAAACTCACTTAAGTGTATTATTGGTCAATTATTTTTAAACCACTCTACTTGTTGAGATAAGAAATTTTGTGAAGATAAAGATAAGAAAGATGCGGCTTTCTGTTTCCTAAAAGATTTAAAGCCTCAGATACCCTATACAGGGTCGCTATGAGTCAGAACTGACTCATCGGAACTTTACAACAATAACAATATAGATATCTCGTTATCTCCACTAAATGAATATGTATATACACATATACACTAATTGTATATATATATATATATACATATGTATATATATGTGTGTGTATGTATATATATATATATGAACTATAAAAAAAATGTTGCTACAAAATCATGTTGTTGTTCTAGCTCATACCAACCTATCTTTATAGAGTTTCCAAAGCTTTCGTCTTGGTAACAGACAGCCTCATCTTTCTCCAGTACAGAACCATAGAAATCTTTATTTAACAAATATATCTAACAGTGACGTTATTCCTTCCGTCTGTATGCCTCTAAAGGCAGTGTTTCCATCTCTGTAACTCTACCCCTGAAGAATTCTGTGCTCTTCAATTTGCATGACAACAAAATGGCAATTTTGCCATCCTCCAGGGAATTAAAAAGTGTTCCTTTTACATAATCTTTGAATTTGTCTTCAGACAAAAATAAGTCTAAAGGAACAAGATGAAGGCTGTCAAATAGATGGGGTAAGGTCTCCTAACAAAATTCTTGTAAGAAATCCCTTGCTAACCTCCAGCAGTACTCAGGTACACTGTAGCAATGGGTGGGGGGTGGGGGTGGGGGTTGGATATTTTCACAATACAATTTTCCTGGCATTTTTCTCAACAAAGTAGTTTTCAATTTTCTGAAAATGTCTTCATAATTCCCTGTGATCACCTCTGTGCCTTGAATTTAACTGGTCCAACGGACCCCTGGACTCCTGGTATGACGCTGTAGGATAGGCACTGAACTGCAAACCACAAGGTTGGCAGTTCAAAGCCAGCAGCCACTCCTCGAAAATCTTATACAGGGTCACTATGAATCAGAACCGACTCAATGACACTCAACAACAGCACACTCCCTGAGAAGCCACAGTTTAGAAGGACCTCTTTTAGAAGGGACATTACCTAGACAAGACAAGTGTATTACTTGTTTGCAGCTATCCACTAGTTACAGAGACATGTTTAAACATTTTTTGTTTGGAATAAACTCATGTATGTATGAACTGAAACCCTAGTCTCAATATTTTTTTTACATACCCTTGCATATGTGCACAATCACCACTACATTTATCTCAACAAGCAGAATGACTGACGGTGTTCTGGGATATTAGAAGAAACATATATTGTTGTTGTCACGTCCTTTTATTTTCTTTAACCAAAAGATTTGATAAAAAAATAGAAGACACTGTAAAATACTCTGAAAAATGTTAAAGTGTCCATCAAAAAGGGTAGGTTAAAGTGCTCAAAATAATGTCTGTCTGTAATTGATCAAAATCATTTGAAGTAGGAATAAATTTGAATGAATATATTTTCAATTATTTTAGTAAAGTTCAATTTATCAAATGTTTTCAAGGCTTCCTTTAGAAGATTAAGTTAAATTACAGCAAAACACATTCACATCTGGAAAACAGTTATAATTTTACATTCCGTATTCCAAGGAATCCTCAATATTCTTGTGTTTATGTTAAATCCAACCCATGTTCCACTGAGGTCATCACATTAAGTCTCCATATACAATTCCTTATCAACCAACAAAAGTTGACTACAACACAGGAACTGATAAACACAAATTTTCGTAATTTACTCTTTATCACTTAAAATATTTCACTAATGAAGTTATTTCATTTGCTAAGGAGTTTTTTTGTTAATCAAGGTTGTTTCTACCTGTGAAAATGAAGATCATCTGAAGAAAAGCTTAATAATCTTATTAGAAAACATGGAAATGATGACTCTGAAACTTACCGGATTGCATATGTAGAAGCTGTAACCATGAGGAATAGCACCAGTACCATGCCGACCCCTGTCAGGCCAGGAACTATAAAAATGTACATAAGTACATTTTAACTTAAATCACACTGAGCAAAAAGTAGAAGAATGACTACATTACAATCTAGTCTTCTAAACTGGTCTGTGAGAAGCCTAGCTTATCTCCATATATGTTCCATTTCCAACAAGATTTTATGCTACTGAGCACAGTTTCAAAGTGCTTAAGACAAAACAGACATTTTGGTCCCTATCCATAGTCCATTCTTTATAATCCTAAATATTCCATTCAAATTGGTGACTTTATACTGTAATTTTGACCTCCACAGGTGCAGACTAACACCAAATGTCAGTAATCAATGCAAAGGGAAACTCTATGGTTTTGGTTTTCTCCACTATAGTACTAAATCTCCACGACCCACACTCTTTTAATGGAATTCGTATTTCCTCAGTTTCAATTTCAAATCATTGCTCTTGGTCTTCTCTACTTAGAATAATTTTTTAAAGTAAGTAAACGAAACCTAAAACTTCTAAGCTACTTTTGAGAGCCTACAAAGGAAACAAAGAGAATTAGTCTTGGGAATGTTACCCACTTAAACATTCTTTCCTCCTCACTCTACCCAATTCAAAGGCCTGGAAGTCAAACAAGACCTTCCCTTTCCTGATGTGTCTAATTCAAATCATCTCTCCTCTACACCTCCTCCCCAGGGTTTCCCATTCCCAGAATCTTTTCTATATCTTCTGAGTGCTTATATATTATGCATAAGGAAAGAAAGTGGACTATACTAGTTCACACTAAAATAGTAAAAGCACAGAAAAAACAACAGCATTCCTACAAAATGATCCAGCCATTTACTCAAGAGACAGCCTGCACATGTTAACACCAAAAGACTAACACAAGAATGTTCACAGTCTACTTACTTCTAATAGACAAAAACAGTAAACAACTGGAATCTTCATCAGCAAATGAATGGAGAAACAATCAGGGTTTACAAACAACAGTCCACAAATGGAAAATGAATCAGCATTAAAAAAAAAAAAAACCCAAAAACATAAATGGATGATATACAAGGCACCAACACAGATGAGTCACAAAATTACTAGACTAAGTGAAAAAAAGAGTCAGATTGCGGTTGTTAGTTGCCATTAAATCGATTCCTACTCGTGAGGACCCAATATGTGCCAAATAAAACTGCCTGTAGGATTTTCAAGATGAAAATCAAAAACAAAAATTCGAAAACAAATTGCCAGGTCTGTTCTCCATAGCATCTCTGGGTGGTTCAAACAGCTAAACTTTTGGCTAGCAGTTGAGTGCTTAATGGTTTGTGCCACCTCAAAAAAAAATAAAAAGAAATTCTATGATTTATTTTAGTGTAACATTCTAGAAGATTCAAATCATTCTTTAGTGACAATGAGCATATCAGAGGTTGACTCAGAGTGGTAGAGAGATGAATACATTACAAGAAGCACAAAAATTATGGAGAGTGTTGGAAATACTTGTTATCTTGATTTTGGCAAGGTGGTCATATATGTATACATGTCAAAATCGATCAACTTGAATATTTCAAATATGTACAGCTTAATTATAACCCAACACATTTAAGGAAACAAAGGGGGAGGGGTCAATCTCTCTATCCTCAAGTTATAAAAAAAAAAAAAAAAAAACAACAGACTTTTATTTGAATAGACAAATAACTAAAAAAATTTCAGATGACTTCCTAAGCATCATCTGTATGGTTGAAGTGCCTTTCAAATAACTTTATTGGGCATTTATTAATGTATCACTCTGTCTACATACAAGATTTCTTGTATGGTTCTGAACATGTCAAGTTATGGAGTTTCTGCAGTTTACTTCATCTGGAAAACATATGAAAAAACTGAGTTACATTTAATAGAGACCTGTCATTTGTAACATATATCATTGTGAATATTAATTCCTTGAGTTATTCGTTTCTGTGACTCAAAGATGGTTTAACCATTCCTTGAAGAGACACAAGGCACATTAGTATATAAAAATCTTTGAAAATTAGTAAAATCAAGAAAATCATTTAAACGTAAATAAATTTTCCTCAAATTTATGTGACTAGAGAACTTTTAGAGCAAAATATGAACTATGTAGAGGGATGTTGAGGGGAAAAAGTAGTTGGCTTTTTTCTGAAGATGAATGGAAGCCACAGAAAGCTTAGCCTATAGTCAATATATTCTGGGATTGTTTATCCCTCAGGAAAATTCCCAGCCTTGTTGAATTTCATCTCAAGATTAAGGCCAAGGAGTATACATGAAATGACATTAATGTTCCTCCAGATTTATGACGTTATCTCTTTAATTTAAATAATTTTTTTTCCTTCCTATTTCCCCAAAATATAAAAACAACAAAGTTTAACATTTACAAAGTAAGATTTCAAATCAGTGAAAAACAAAAAATGTATTACAATTAGTGTGTTCAAAAAGAAAAAAGAAAAAAAAATGGGCTATCTTGAGAAATAGCAAGTTCTTACACGCTGGAAATAATCTAATAGAGGCAGGCTAACCTATTATCTGGAAGTTGTAGAGATAAACGCATCAGATAGAAGAGTTAAAGAAATGGCTTCTATTCATTCTGTAACATATATTCTGCAAATCTATAATGCACTGTCAAATGTTAGAGATAAAATGAATCCTGCTCTAAAAGAAATGCTGGATCAACAGAGGAGATAGATGGATTAAGCAGACAATTGCAACATAGAAGTTTAAATGTTATAAAGAGCTTTTATATATGCTAAGTATGGGTAACAGCTCAGCTAAATCACAATATATTAGCTTCTAGGGTTTTAGAGTCTTGGTGTGGCATTGTAGGACAAGCTTTGGACCACAAAGTCAGTTTGAACAGCAAGGTTGGCATTTCAGACTCACTAGCTGCTCCTCAGAAGCCCTATGCAGGGTTGCTGTAAGTGGGAACTAACTAGACATAGTGCAAATGGTTTGCTCTTGGCTACTAACTGAAAGGTTACTGGTCTGAATCCATTCAACAGTGCCAAAAAAGAAATGTGAGGTAATCTGTGCCCATAAAGACTGCTGTTGTCAAGTGCCGTCGAGTCAGTTCCAACCCACAGCTAACCTGTACAGGGTTTCCAAGGAGACGTTGGTGAGCTTGAACCGCTGACCTTGTGGTTCAAACTGACTTTGCAGCCCAGCACATTAACTCACAGCAATACACCAGGGCACTCAAGAAATTGAATGGAGCAATTCTATTTTTCAACATATTGTGATTGCTATTAGGTGCCATCGAGTCGGTACCAACTCATAATGACCTTATGCACTGCAGAATGAAACACTGCCTGACCCTGGGCCAACCTCACTACCGTTGACAAGCTTGAGTCCATACAAATGAGGCCCCATAAATCAGAATCAACTTGACAACAATACGGTTTTGTTTCTTTATTTGCTTATTATCACACACAGAATTCCTTAGTGGTACAAACGGTTAGCATGCTCCTAACAGAAATGTTAAAAGGTCTGTGCAGTCAGAAGTGAGCTACTTTCAAAAAATGTTGCCATTGAAGACCCTATGGAATTCTACTCTGACACACATGGAGGCAAGTGTTTTCTTGTTTTGTTTTGCTTGTTACTGTCTATATATTCCAAGAATTAGGAGGCACAGGTTGGAGTTCTTCAGGCTAGTCTAGAATGGGCAAAGTTACTTGCACAAGTGAAGTATATTGACTTATCTCTGAACTCTTCAAGATTTTCAAGTTAAAAAGTCCAACTGATTCATGTTTCTTTAGAAAAAGTCATGATTCTAGTTTATACTTGGTATCTTTTACTTTTAACTATGCATGTTAGATTAATTAAGTAACAGCCTTTATATTTGGAGTCCTGGTGTGCTGCTGTGGGTTAATAGACTGGGCTGCAAAGTCAGTTTGAACTGCAAGTTCATAGTTCAAGTTCACCAGCCACTCCTTAGAAATCCTGTACAAGATCACTATGGGTCAGAACTGACTCGACGGCACTTAACAACAACAATATAATGGATTATCAAACCATACTGCCTTCTCTAGAAGAACCTGATCATTTTCGCCCATACCCAGATGTGGTCAGGAATATACTGTCTTACATTTATTATCCTACTTTTCCTAATATAATTGGGAGCATAATTATATTTGCTGTGAAGATTTTTCTAAGTGAAATTGTAAACTGTACATTTTATTCCCACCATGTAATATACTATGAAATTTAGGGATATGCATGTAAAAATATTTCATGTGAGTAATTTTATAAATTCTTAATTGGAACATTTATAGCATTTATTACCCAATGAGTCTGACTACCGTATGCTATGTCATCTGTACTGTCACAGGTTTTATTTTCCATATGGCAATTTTATTTTCTCACTTATTGGTTATATTAAATGTTTTCAGAGAGTGAGAGACAGACAGGAGATTCTGTATAACATTAAACAAATTTAAGTAATGGTAAAAATATTCTTTTCCACTAAAAAATCTAAAAACATACATGACTTCATTCAACTGAAACTTAATTTTTGCTGGGTGCTATGAGAACATTGTGGCGTGATTTTATTAAGTAACATATTAGCAATACAAGCTAAATTAGGTCTATATGTGGAAAACAGTATCTCCCACCCCATTACAGACCTTAGACCTGCTTTTCTGTCTCACCTGCTACTCGACAGTGAGGTCAACCAGATGCACCAAGAGTGCCAGACTCTTGTATAGAGGTCAGCCCTGGACTCAAGGTCTGAGCTGCAGTTCTAGGAGGATGACCTAAAAATAGATGGTTCCTAAGACAGAGAACACTAACTCCATTATGGCAGTGTTTGAGACTGGGCAACCAAAATGGTGCTGACATGTTGTGTTGGGAAGAGTCAAATTGTTTCTGATTAAGAGAAGTCATGAAGAAAAACATGGCATCAGGACTGAAGGAAGACTCACTAACAGCCCGTGATATGCAGATGATACAACCTTGATTGCTAAAAGTGAAGAGGACTTAAAATATTTACTGATGAAGATCAAAGAGCACAGCCTTCGGTATGGATTACAATTCAATGTAAAGAAAACAAAAATCCTCACCACTGGACCAATAAACAACATTATCAATGGAGAAAAGATTCAAGTTGTCAAGGACTTCATTATTCTTGAATCAGCCATCAACACACATGGAAGCAGCAGTCAAGAAATCAAACAACATACTGCATTAGGCAAATCTGCTGCACAAGACCTTTTTTAAAGTGTTGAAGAGCAAAGATGTCAGCTTGAGGACTAAGGTGCACCTGACCCAAGCCATGGTATTTTCAATAACCTAATATGGATGCGAAAGCTGGACAGTGAATAAGGAAGACTGTAGAAGAGTTGATGCATTTGAGTTATGGTGTTGGAGAAGAATATTGAAAGTACCATGAGCTACCAAAAGAATCACCAGATCTGTGTTGAAAGAAGTGCAGCCAGAGTGCTCCTTGGAGGCCAGGATGGCCAAGCTTTGTCTTTCATACTCCAGACATATTGTCAGGAGGGACCAGTCGCTGGAGAAGGATATCATATTTGGTAAGGTGGAGGGTCAGAAAAAGGGAGGAAGACTCCCAGCAAGATGGAATGGCAAAGTGGCAGCATTGATGGGCTCCAGAGTAGCAACAATTGTGAGGTTGGCCCAAGACCAGATGGTGTTTCGTTCTGTTGTGCATAGGGTCACAATGAGTAGGTACCAACTTGATGGCTCCTAACAATAACAACAACAACTAAGAATATTTGCCTGAGGCCCTGTTTGCCCTACAGACAGCCCTGCCCCACCTGAAGAAGCTCATCTTTAAGTGTAAGGAAATAAATTCATTGAAATGTATCTTTAAGAAACAAAGACAAGGAGAGATAAACTGTCTCATAGAATTAAAGAGGAACTTATGTGTAATGGGGCATGTCAGTTGTGACTTAAAGGATTAACAGGAATAGATTAGGTAAGTCAAAGAGACTAGTCTTTATCTGACAAAAGATAGGTACTGATGAGAACCTCAAGAGCATGATGAGATGTTTAGCAGGGATAAAACAGTAGCTCACAAAGTACATGGGAAGGTTAGTAAAACACATTTCCAGGTTCTACTCCAAAGAATATCTAGGATGGTATCAAAATTTTTTATCTTCTCCACTTACACAGTTCAATACCAAGATTTCTGGGCAAGAACACAGGATGATGGATTTCATTCTAGGTAATAAGAATGGAGGTTAAAAGAAAATTCACCTGCTTATATAACATATGAATTAAACTGAGTGCCTTAATGCACTATCGTTGCTACATATATTGTTTTTTTATATCTTTGTAAACTTCTTTAAATATGCTATTCATTCCAATCCTTCAAATGAATTTTCTACCATAGAAAATAATACAAAAACAACAATCTTGTTTCTTTCTCTTAAATGAATTCATATAACTCGAGAAATACATTGATTCATACACATGGTTTTGTTTTCCTGCCTTTTCCCTTCCTGTTACTCATCCAATTCTTAAGGCTAAGTGAAGACATGTTTTCAATGAGCAAAGTTGTAAGCAAAACTAAATTGTATTCCTAAGGAAAACACTGAGAAATATTTTATAAGTGACCAATCTCATGTCTATCCACTAAAATAAAATATATATTTTATAAATCTAAATATACCATTTGTGACAGGAAGGGAAAAACTATTTATTTTGCTATTTTTCATCATACCACTGATTTAAAGCAAAACTAATGCATTTAGCAAGGCAATAGCTCAACCCCCTATCCAATTCTGATCCTGAGTGGGGCACTACAGTCAATTATTCATGACAGACCACCTCAGCTAGCCAACCATCCTTGTCCCTGAAATATGTACTAAAAATACCTAAAATGTAGCTTTGTTCTTTCATTTTATAAATGTATGGTTGAAAAAGATATTAGTAAGAATTGTACTAACATCAGGGCAAATCTTTATTCTGTTCAAATGTGCCCTAACAAATTAATAGTCTAGACTGAAATTTCATGGACAATATGCTTGAGAATGAAAAATAAATTATAAATGAAAATGGAAACATGATTCAATTAAAATAAGTTCTTTTCATAACTGTTTCTCTTCTTTATTGCTCAAATACAAAATAGCTATTGCTAGTCCTGGTGTGACACTGTGGGGTAATGCACTGGATTGCAAAATTGATTTGAACTGCAAGATTGGCAGTTCAAGTTCACCAGCCGCTCCTCAAGAATCCTATACAGGGTCACTATGGCTTTGGAACCAACTCAATGGCACTTAACAACAACAAATATAAAATTGCTAGATTGTATAGGTTTGATGATCACAAAAGGTCCTACTAATTACTGAATAGTAACAACTACATTGATAGGTTCTGCTTGATGTTTCCTCCCATTATACATGTATTAGCCTCCACAGTACTTGCCATAGCACTGACCACAAAGCAGGTCTTCAACAAGCATATAATGTTATATTGATTTCATTAAAAGGACATATGAAAGGGAAATGTTTTGTTCATTTAACTCTTCATTCATACCCCACTGTTTGCCTTGAAACCCTGTTTTCTTGCAATTTTATGCCTGACTCCCTAATATTTGTTCTGATTTTCAAATTTACCATTCTATTTTAACATATCTCTAAGTGCTATGCAATTTGAACATGCTTATTTTCAAAGCATTTCATGAATGTTCAGAGAGAGCAATGAAGAGCAACTTACCAGTTGTGAAGAGGAGTTTTCTAGGATCCTGAGAAAAAGAAAATAATAATAATTCAACTGAAATATAAAACACTGATGCTCTAACAGTCTACAAGTATCCTGCAGGTTCTAAGAGCCATACATTGGGTAGTTAAAATTCTGTCCTCCCAATGGAAATGAGATGTTTCAGTTACCATTTTTTTTTTTCATAGTTCAAGAGAATGATTATAAGAAATACAAACTCCAAATCAGAGTAATCAACTCCATCTGAAAAAGAGAGGGCGCTAGATGACAAGTCAAAAGGTCTAGGCATTAATCCTAATAGCCGCTTAAAAACTAGCAGTCGTGGCTTTAAGCCCATCCTCTTAAAATTACTTTTAAACTTGGTATCCTCTTAAGATTACTTTTAAACTTGGTATCTTTGGCAATAATGTGAAACCATTACTATATACCCTGTCTACCATAATTGCCAGAGTTCTGGTGTAGTGCTGTAGGATAAGCACTGACTGCTAACCGTGAGGTCAGTCATCACACCCACCAGCCACTTTTTGTGAATCCTATACAGGGTCACTATGACTCAGAATTGACTCAGCAGTTAACAACACCATAGTTGCCAAACTGAATTCATAAGGCATCAAAACGTGAAGATTATATGCAATAAAATCTGTTATAGAGCTTATACATTCTAAACTTGGTCCTAAGAAGACTACCTGAAAACTTACTGTGAAAAGTGGTGAGGATACTCAAATAAAAAGGATTGGGTGTCTGCTACTTGCAAATATAAAACATTAATATTTCTATTAATATTTCTTTTAAACTGTATCTCTCATGTTTTAATGAATTAAAGTCAGATCCCTTTCTATTACATTTTGGAAAACACTGATCATTCTTTAGTAGATTTTTGGATGTCATTAGTCATCATCAGGGTGCTTACTGTTACCCAACTTATGATTTCCTTTCCTTATTCCTCCACAGAACCTGAGAACAGGCAAGGTTATATTCTGAGTAGGAAGTCACTTACACGCAAGGTCAGCAGTTCAAACTTACTAGCTGCTCCTTGGAAACCCTATAAAGGGTCACTAGGAGTTGAGACTGACTTAACACTTAATAATAACAACAATATTAATATAGGAGTCCTGGTGTGGCACTGTAGAATAAGCACTGGACAGCTCACCACAAAGCAGTTCAAACCCACCTACCACTCCTCAGAAACTGTACAGGGCAAATGTGAGTCAGAACTTACTCAATGGCACTTAATAAAAACAATACTATTAATATAAGACATGTTGAATGAAGTAGTAATATCAAAAATAGAAATGAATACCTATAGAAACCTAATGTATGGAGCAATTAATATTGCCAGAGATGTAAAATGGAACATGAGTGTGAGATGGTTTCATAAATGACAAGATCAGTAGATTTAGTCATTTGTTGCACATCAGAATGTACAACAAATGAAAGTGAAAGGAAGGGTTATTCCAGGCAGAGTTAAAGCATAAGGCAAAAGTGTGTTACATTCAAAGGATACAATTACTACAGTTAATAAAGTGTACAGCAGAAATCCAGCATATCTAAAGGCATTTCACAGTATATAGAAAGAGCACTTGTGATGCAGAGGTTATTGGTTCAAACCTACCAGCTGCTCCATGAGAGAAAAGGCCTGGCTCCCAACTTCCTTCACGATACCATCTTATGAAACCATATGAGGCAATTCTAATCTGTTCTATAGTGTCACTATAAGTCAGCACAAAGGAAAACACATATTTATATGAATATGTTATATATAGATATAGAGAGAAAGTCAGTCCTAGTAGTACAGTGGCTGAGAGCCCAGATACCAAGTGAAATGTCAGTGGTTCTAACACACTAGACACTCTGGGAGAAAGAAGTGGCAATTTGCTTCCATTAAGATTACAGCCTTGGAAACCCTAGGGGGCAATTTTACTCTGTCTTAGAGGGTTGCTATGAGTTGAAATTGACATCATAGTATACAACATATATGTGTGTTTGTGTATTTATATTTTTTTAATCTATTAATTTATGTAATTTTATTCCATCTTTATCTAGCACATTGTCTGGAACTTACAAGGTACTCAGTAAAAGAAGAGAGGGAGAATGGACAAAAGACAAAAAAGGGAAATACAAGTTAAAATAATGAGTCACCATTCTTCATCAAACTGGTGAAACATTATTTTAAGAAGGAGAGAGATGAGCTGTGTGATAGGCATTCTTATACATACACTGTTGGCCAAAGTGTATAAATTGGTGAAATTTATGGATGATAAATTGGCAATATCCACCCAAACTAAATTTTCAATCCAATGGTCTAGTTTTAAGGATTGGGCTTACAGAAATTCTACTAGAGCTGGGTGTCGTTGTTGTAGTTAGGTGACATTACCCTATCACAGACAGCACTGTACTTCAAAATAGATCTTGAAATGTTCTTTTTCATGATGAATGTGCTGTCATTCCTCTTTAACTTGACATTCTTGGCCTATAAAACCATATGATTGTCTGATTCAAAATGGCCAATACAAGTCCATTTCAGTTCACTAATGACTAGGATATTGATCTTTATGCATTTTTACAACTTCCAATTTTCCTAGATTCATATCTATATATATTATTTTCTGATTATGAATAGATGTTTGCGTCTGTTTTTTTCTTATTTTAAGCTATGCCACATCAGCAAATGAAGGTCTGGAAAACTTTGTTCCATACATGTCATTAAAGTCAACTCACCTTTAAGGAAGCAGGTTTTCCCCAGTCATATTTTGAATGACTTCTAACCTGAGTGATTTATCTTGCAGCACTCTATCTGACAATATTCTGTTGCTATTCTTAAGGTTTTCAGTAACTAATACTCAGAAGTGGTCTGCCTCTCCTTTTTCTTAGTCCATCTTAGTCTGGAAGTTCTGCTGAAACCTGTCAATCATGAGTGGTCCTACTGGTATTTCAAATTCTAGTGGCATAGCTCCTAACATCACAGCAACACATAGTCCATCATAGTACAACAAACTAATAAACAAGTGGTGGTTACTAGGTGTAGTTTATAACAAAAATACAAAACCAAGCTACATGTACGTGACTAACAAAGATATTTTGAAAATATATCAAAGGCTGACTGCTACTTTTGTTTTGTGATTTGTTTCCGTTTGTTAATATTCTTCCATTTGCTTTGCTTTGGGAAATAGGTCAAACATTTGATCCCAACAGTATGACAGAACTTCAAAATTTTAAGACATGTCTATATGAATAAAACTGTATGAGGGAGCTTCAAAAGGTCCACGAAGACATTCCATTATATTTTAATTCCATTTTTTCAGACTTTTTGTAGCACCCTTATGTATATATTAAAGAGAGGGAGGCAGAGAGAATAGCAGGTAAATATGGCAGAACATTGCAGTGAACTATGTTTCAAAAATATTTTAGAAGAAAACATAAAATGATTAACTTTATCTCTGGAGAAGACAGTAGGGAAAGATTTCACTTTTAACTTAATGTACTTGAGCTTATGTTTTGAAATAAAATAATTTCAACAACTGTAATTTCTAAAGTATCTAAAATTTTTGAGGTACGGAACAAAAGCATGTTACCTTCAAATGATACAATTACTATAGTTAATAAAGGTTTAAGGAAAAGAGTGCAAAGAAGTAAATTGTATGATAGGCGCTGTAAACAACAACTCCAAGATGTATGACCAGCGGTGGATGAGGGGAAGTAGATAAAGAATGAAAAAGTGGCAACACTGGACCCAAAATCCTTACAGGTGAAGAGTTTTCATTATTTGGTCCTCCAGGAAGTCAACAAGG